CTCTCTCTCTCTCTCTCTCTCTCTCTCTCTCTCTCTCTCTCTCTCTCTCTCTCTCTCTCTCTCGCTCTCTCTCTCTCTCTTTCTCTTTCTCTCTCTCTCTCCGTCTCTCTCTCTCTCTCTATCTCTATCTCCTTTTTTGTTTGGAAAACATCGTTATGGACGACTTCAGTAGGGAAGATCAGTACTCTGTGATGCCTCGCACCCATCCATGCAAGTAAGAATCGAACCGGCAGGCCAATCCGTGCATGCAACAAATCAAGCCAGCACCCTCGGCCACAAGTGCCAAGTCACTTAACGCGTACAGCCATGAAGCAGTGTGAAAGGTGGAACCATAACGGTACCTTCGTCACCCGAATAGAGCGTACGGTGATTAGAGCTGTATTTGGGGTATCTTTCCGTCTAAATACAGCAATGATGACCGTATGTTGTATTCGGGTGAAGTGATATCCACCAAACCCCTGCATGGATGTGATGTCCTTGTATACACACGCACTCAACCCACACAGACAAATGCTACAGAGGCGATTCTCGCACACTTGACTCCAATCCAGCACATGACCATCGTCCCAACGGGGCTGCACCCACAGGCCACCACATTCCTAGCACCATTTCCAGGCTGTGTACAGGGCTTAAGTATGATCAATACTTTTTCGGGCCTCAAACCCACCCATGCACGCACGGAATCGAACTGTCGCCCTTCGCCACAAGAGGTCTTTAACCACTACAGCTGTACGGGTGAGTGATATTCTGTGATTTTTTTATTTTTTTTTTCCGCCATGTTTCTCACCAGCATAGAGTTCCTCAAAAAAAAAAAAAAAAAAGGAAGGGCCCATAGTTGTCGCCTACATACTTCAGATCGTTTGGCGGTGATGTCCACCTTAACCGTGGTCGGTTTAGCGTCAAGGGCCCACTGATAGCATTCTCTAAGAGTAAGTAACTGCGTGTAGCACGGGCGCTGGATACTTGAACTCTGAATTTCGGGTTGTGGGCTACTGCGCTGATGAGCGCTGGCTACTTCTTTTTTTTTATTTTAATTTGGACCATTTCTCGATTTATGTGTGTCATCCTTGGGCAGGGGCCATGCTAATCTTCTCTGTATCGTTCCAATTTTAACGGATGTCTCGAAGGACGTGAGCCCTGGATACTTGAACTCTGAATTTGTGTAATATGATCGTTCCATGGCTGTGCCGGCAACCGGCCGGTTGGACCGGCCCGGATCCAACCGGGCTGGTTGGACCCCCGGTGGTCCAACCGGGCCGGTTGGACCCCCGGTGGTCCAACCGGAATTCCGGTTGGGTCCAAAACTGGGTCAAAAAAAAAAAAAAAAAAAAAATTGAAAACATGGTTGGACTGCGCTCACCGAGATCTCCCCGAATCCGCAAAGAAAACTTTGAACAGAGAAGTTTCGTTTGGGGGGTTGGGGG